AAAATGGCTTTAAAACAAACCAAATTAGGAGCAACTTCATACCACATGATCTGCCTTTCTTGCCCTTTACATTTTTACAGGAGTATACTGCACTTTTCTTGGGGTCCTTTACCACATGGCAGCCAATTAGGAACATACTGGGGTGAGGATTTAGGTGAATTTCACCCCCATCCTAGTTAACTGTGACATTTCTTGGAACAAGATAGGGGTGTGAACAGGTGGATTGGGGCCAACCTAATTCAATTGGTGACTTCACTGATGATGACAGATTTCAATTTCATGTTCACACGTAGAACTGAATGACGATTTATAATCAAATGTGATGTAAATTGAATCAGGCATGCTTCTGTATCATCTCATACATCAGAGCATAGGATAGACACTTTATACAGTGGGGTTTTTTGTAGTGTTTTTTTTTGTGGTGTCTTTTTGTTTATATTGTAACACCACGAAACATGTCTGTCATTTTTGCAACAAGAAACTTTATTAATGGTTATGCAGTCACTTTACATTATAACTAAGTTAATTCGAACTTTTCATTAAATTTGCACAATTTCTTGCTCAAAAGTTCCTAGTCATAATGTAAAGTGACTTCTTATAACATGGAGGTTAAGACAAGTCCATATTGTTTGCTAACAAACAGGAGGGTGTTTACTGAATCAGGACTGTTGGCAGACAATTAAGCCCTAACGATGAAATGTTGTCAAGCAATTTTATTAAAAATGCAATTCTTATTGAATATACAGTACTTTAACATTCTTTAAAGCCCAAGTCCACTTCAAAAATAAATTACTTTCAACAGAACCAGAAAAATCAGACAAACCAATCAAAAAAAGTTTGAGCAAAATCGGATAACCAATAAGAAAGTTATGAATTTTTGAAAAAGTATGTAAAACTATGGAACAATGAGAATCACAACACAATTTGCCCAGATGATTATCAGTTTGTGACGTCATGTCCAAACAACTTATCAATTGATTTATATAGTTTAGTCCCATTAATTTCCCTTTTTATCCCCCAAAACTTGATTTCCCCATGCCTTTGCCCAGGTTATATGATTTGTATCATATTGCGTGCATGACATTTCCCCAAAACTTTTATGAATTTCGAAGAATTGATACTATTTTCTGAATATTGTATTTCATAATTATTGATTTTTATATAAATAGTTTATAAAAATTCAATTTTTCATGATTTAACTAGACAAAATTTACTCTTTATTTGTGCATCCACACAAAAACATATTACTAACAATCTAACTTGGATGCTGGTGTGAAGAAATAAGATTCTTAGGGTGAAAATAGGAAATTTATATTATCATAATAAAGAAAATAATTAGTGGATAGTGATGACCATATGTCACAGACTCATGAGTAAGTTGCCAATTTGTGTAGTGATTTTCAAAGTTTTTCATGTCATTAAAAATTCATAACTTTATTATTAGTTATCCGATTTTGCTCAAACTTTTTTTGATTGGTTTGTCTGATTTTTCTGGTTCTATTGAAAGAATGTTATTTTTGGAGTGGACTTGGGCTTTAAGATATCAAATTGGGTCTAATAACTTTAATTCTTGGCATTAATCCTCATTACCAAGTCCCTCAGAGAAGAATTAAAGCCATTGGTCCTCTGGTTGCTTACTTACAAGTATACATACACATTCTTTCATAGTGGTCAGTAAAATAAACCATCAAACCAACAAAAAAAAACTTTTTTTTTTGTCATGCCCCTCTGATGCGGAGCAGACAATATCCATGTTGGAAAACAGGATCCACTCTGAATCTGTCTACCACATGACTCATGAGTCTTTCCACACTTGTTTAATCAACAAACAAGATCATGACGTCTTTGCCCCACGTACTACATGGTCATTCATTGGTAATAGATGTAATTATATGCTCTCACCTTGTAGATGCTCATTTCATCAAGAATTTGAATTGCAAAGTTAATGAAGATGCCAATCCGAAGTAATTCTATTGATGCGTCACAATGTACAGGTAATGACATTAAGGGGGTTATCTGAATCAGAGCGAATACCTGTCATGTAATGAAATTATCACAATACATATGACTCTATGCCTGTTGGTCAGTCCTGAGTAACTTCACAGATAGCATTCTAAGATTTCTAATCTCTTTATTGATTTTTGTTTACAGGGACACTTTTCTTGATCAATCTGTAAGCTTCTGTTGGTATATAATTATATTAAATGACTTTACTTTTGGTTATTCATAGCAATGGAAATACACTTTGAGAATATATTGTACAAATAATACTTTACAAAAACTTATAAAATATACAGTAGTTATACAGACACTCCTCTGAAAATATGTCCTTTTTATGACAGTCTATTCCCTTTTCTGTCCAATAAATCATGATTGTGTTCTTAATCTCCATTTTCACAGGTACATAAAAATATTATCATTGGTGCAAACATCAAACATTATGGTAATTGTACAAACTACTAGTCAGGTTTTCTTGCCCAAAACACTACAATGTTGTTGGAATACCTGGTACACACATTTACAGATTTCATGTGAAAAGAGACTTTTTATGTGTTTATAAAAAGAAAATATACCATTTTCAAAAGTAAGACCTACATCTTAAAATTGGTGTTTGCTCTTATAGATCATATTTGCTGTCTATAGCAATTAAAAACTAACTCTTTCCGTCAAAGCCCTCAAAAATATTTTAAAAGTACCTTTAAGATTTATTCATCTATTCTTTTCTGATATTTATACAGGGTATCACATTTTCATTGGTAGTAACGGTATTCCACGAGGCCCTGTTTGGCGAAAACACAGTTCAGTGAACAAAATTTCACTCATAAACTCAAACCATTTCAATGTCAATCAAGCTTAGATGGAAATGAAGGATTCATTTCATTCCAGACTGTAAGCGATCGCTTCCAGTTAGTCACGCACCTGACCAGTCCTATAGTACAGCCTGGCCAATGTAACAAAAGTAGGTGATATTCGGTGACCAAGCCTACTTTCAACTTCTTGCCCAACTGCAGTAACAGCTTGCAAGGAGTTCAGGAAAGTACTCTGTTCTACTTTTTATTTCAATTAAGAGCTATTAACTACTCCTTTTATTATTTTTTGGATTATACAGTCTAAAACGGCATAAGGTTACAGAACTAAACTGACTGTAATGACGAATTTGTATTTGTTTTTGAAAATTTGCTTAGTAATTTGCTTTGTTTTTAACTCAATGGGTTTTGTTTAAAAGCTCATTTTGTTTCACATTATAGTATTTTGAAGTATGTGGAAGAGAATAAGTTGTAGAACAATAATGGCAGTCACCATACGTACAAATGACCTTTCTTTTAAGAAACACTGTGAATGTTTTTCTTTGTCATCTTTCGGTACATTTGACAGTTTTTGACATATTTAATTTTGCATCATGACCTACAGATAGTAGGCCTTTATAGCTATCGGCTGATATAAAATAACATAACTGTCTTCAAACACATGTCTTGTGCTAGCCAGATCAAGATTGAGGTATTTAAAGTTCTTTTAAACTACACTATGTTTTAAATCTTGTAAATCATCAGTTGAGAGCCAGAAGGCCATTAAAGATGAAGTTGAGTTCTGGTCATGCGATTGCATTGTAAAAGAAACGGTGTGGAACCGACCAGAAAAGGTTGATCATAAGAATTTGTGTGTATTGCAAGGTTCTGGAATCATCAAAATGATAAGAAATGTGGCCAAGTCTTGGTAAAGTTACAAACACTTGCACAGAAAGATGTATATGGGACTACACGAACACGTGGCGTAAAAAGCCGGCCCCCGATTTTTACGATGTTACATGCATATTTAGAATATAAAGGCATTTGAAGAGCCATGCTTTTCAGGGAACATGTCTTAACTGATGTTCTTCCACACTTGCATAATAAGAATGAGTAATGCTCACAAATTATTTTTCACCTCTTCCCAGAACTCAACCTTCTCTTTAAGTCTGTGTTAACCCATTACCTACGGGAAGCAAGTGGTCAATGTATTAAGCCTATAGGAATTAGAGAATTCAGGATTCAAGGGGTTAACAAGTTAGCTATTCTGGCTCTAAGAGCAAATGAAATAATTGATGTCTGGAAAAGAATGGTAAGGAAACATGGCTTCATATGTTGCATTGCAGATTATGATTATCTGACATATAACCCTATGTTAGAAATGACAAATAGTGTCAAAGCTTTTAGCCAATAATTATGATATTGTTAATACAACCATTATCATAAACAGTCAATTATAAAAACCTTCAAACTTGGTGGTAAATCTTCTGTTTGAAAAATACCTATAAGTTTAGCTACTCTGAAAATGAGCCATATAGCACAGCCGAGTGAGAAATGGTGCGGATACTACCGTATTGACTTTGAACTCACATTCAACTACGCTTGATTGATTGGAATTTAAATGTCACACAATAGCCTATCAGCCTTGCCATCAATCATTCCTAACCCTTCTACATTCCTTCTTATTCAAGCAATGTGCTAAGACTGGTATTCTTTCTCTTAGATTACGGAGAAGACAGGAATATGTAATCCACACGTTTGTAAGTTTGAGAAAGGGTAAAGTGGCAGGATATTTTTTGTAGATAAAAAATCGGCACAATTAATAACTTCAAATTTAATTGCTGTCACAAGCATATAAGTCTATAAAATGATTTGTCTTGTTACCTTTCTATCTTTCTACACTCTTGATTAATATTACTGAAGCATTGCAGCCCAAACAATGATGAATGGTACTTATCAAAACTAAAACATAAGTAATGACACAATATTGAATCTGGCTAAGTTTTGTATCAATCACTCCTAACCCCTCAACATTCCATCCTATTCAAGCAATGTGATAAGACTGGTATCTTTTCTCTTGGAATATGAAGAAGACAAAAATGTGTGATCTAGGAGTTTGGAAGTCTGAGAAGTGGTAGAAAGCTTTGCAAACTTCAATTTCTGAATCATACTTTTACAAATTTGCATTTAAAAAATAAGAAATAATAATTTGTTCAATAGAAACCCTTGATATATCTACCACTCACCTGTTCTATAGTTCGCCCCCTGCAGGTAGGTCCCAAAGTTGGCCAGCTCTGGTCCCATCCTCCACTCGTCCGAGCCACAGTACTCCCCAATGTTTGAGAACACTTGATGGTTGTGGACGTACTGACCGGTCAAGATACTGCTCCGAGAAGGACAGCACATGGGCGTGGTCACAAAGGCATTGGTGAACTCCGCCCCTCGGCTTCCAAGGTGAAAGCGAGTTTTGTTCATGGCAGTCATGGAACCTGAATGATTTGTGACAAGAAATCGCATTATCAAATTTTGTTCGTTCTAATTTGTTTTTTCTAACCATGGACGATGTTGAAACAAGCCTAACTGATGTTTTGTGCATAATTTTTTTTTTTTTTCTTCTAATACTCCCATGTGCATACATTATCATTGTGTGATCTGATTTCTTTAACACTATTTTGAAATTCCTAATTTTTCCTTTAACAAAATTCTTGGCTTAATGGCAGAATACCAAACCATATTCATGAAAATGATTTTTTTTAATTTGGCAGGATATGACGAAACTTTGAGACACTTCATGCCTATGATCTCAGGTGCCAACTGGTTAGGTTGTCAAACAAAATTTATAAATGTAACTCTTGAAGATTGCATGACACCTTTATACGAAAGTGGCTTCATAAAGTGTCAAACAGTCAAATTTGGCAGGATATAAGGAAACTCATATACACTTCATTTATATCATCACAGAAGCCCAACTTGGCTCCCAGTAAATATATATCTCTAGGAAGTTGCATGACACCTTCGTACTAAAAGGGCTTCATAAAATCAAGGAAATCCCCATGAAATTGGGATCTCCGGAATGATCGATGATGTCATGGTGCTTACCTAGGACAACATCCTGGTCATCGGTGAGGACCAGGATGATGTTGGGTTTCTTTGACGACCCAGAGACGGGAGGAAGGAAGCTCAGCCTCTGATGCTGCCCTCTTGAACGTGACCTGTCTTTATTGCCCTCTGACCTCTCCTTGTCCTTTGACTTTGACCTACTTTCGACTTGTGATGTCACCAGGCATAGGAAGAAGGCTAGTACTAGCCACACAGCATTGTTTATTTCCATGTTCTTGAGTGTTTGTGGTGGCTACTGCAGTCAATAATGTGGACGATGACACTGTTGAGGGTCCCTGGAGCTGTAAGCTCAGTTGTACAAAGGGAAAAAGGTTACAAAATAGTGGCTATACCCACTAAAAGAGTCAATAATTGTTGCAGGACAGAGCTGCTATCACCACAAAAAGTACAATTTTTCCCCTGCAAACCACTTGATTCAATGATTGCCTTCTGTGATGAAGTCAGACTGTTTGTGGTGATGGAAACAGGAGAGGCAGCACCATGTGTTGCTAGATTTGCACCTCAGGGCACCAAACTGCTTCAGGAACAACCGTACAATCGATACTCATCCTGTTGATCTTCCATTGTTTCTATACGGAGAAGTACAATCAAATGGCCAATCTGGTTCGAGAAGATTTAAACAAATCTTCCAGAATAGGTGATCAAATCAAGCAGATTGATACGTATACATGTACCTCAGCCGCTCGGGTTAAAAGTTGTAATGATGTCCTCACTATTCCATTTCACTCTCAACAGCTGGAGCAACACAGAATCTGTAAGATAAAAAAAAAGTAACAGTTTTAGAATCTAAGAGTTGTTTTGTTTTAAAATGATTTGCAATATTGAGTTGTAATTATTATTTCACAGGGTTGATGTAATTCTATCAGAAACAATTGTGATTTGACTAAATTATAATAACAGTTATATCATACTGTGCATGACTTCTTATCAAGAACTGATGCATCAAAAACTCAACATCATTTGTTTCAATATTCTGAATTCACATCTTTAAGTAATAAAGTACAAACATCTAGTAATTTATATGAGTAACCAGACCTGTGCCCTCTCCCCATCATCAAACTTACCCCAAGAATGAGATGAACATTAATCAACCTGAAAGGTTACAAGATATTGATATCAATTTGAAGAAACTTTTTTCAGTTCTTACACACAAGCTATGTTGGTTGTTTTGATAAGGGCATAGGGTCTATACATTAATTAAGTTTTCCATCATGACACACTAGGATAATTTATTGCGAATGTATCTAAGGAATGTCATAAATTTGTCAGCATGTTCAAGAGCATGATAAGTGGGAGGAGGTGTGGTAAGATAAAGACAGATCACAGAATGCAAAAGAGAGAGAGAGATACATGCACATAAATAGCTACAGAGAGGCAGACAGACAGACAGAGAGAGAGAGGGGGAGAGAGAGAGAGAGAGAGAGACAGAGAGAGAGGGGGAGAGAGAGAGAGACAGAGAGAGAGGGGGGGGGGGGAGAGAGAGAGGTAGATAGAGAAAAAGAGAGAAAGAGAGATAGAGAGAAAGAAAAACAGAGACCCAGAAAGGGAGAATGGCAATAACTACAGTAAGAGATGTGAAGAAATGAAGACCTCTGTGATGGAAGAAAACATAACAAAAAGTAGGGGTGGGGAGAGGATGCAAATATTGTCAGGGTAAATGACCCCAAAAGAATGGGAGAATCGATGATAGGAGACACACACAGGGAATAATATTGGGTTGAGGGTGTGTGTACAAAGAGAACCAGCAAGAGAGATGATGGGGAGGTGGGAGAATCAGAGAGAAGGGGCAGTAGAGGGAGGGAGGGAAGGGGAGTGCACAGAGGGAGAGAAAGAGACAGAGACTGAGAAAGACAGACAGACAAAGATAATGAGAGAGAGAGAGATGGATAGATATTTAACAAATAAAGAGAGAGAAAGAGAGACGGGACCAGAGACAGACACACTGGCAGGCTTGCAGACATAAATATAGACAGGGAAGAAGAGAGTAACAGAAGATGAAGGGAAATAATCACAAACCAAGCCCAAAAGTACAGAATGTGGTTCAAGTACATAAGGGTCATTCCTCATTACTATGGTATGCAAACTTGACAAGGGTCAAAGAACCAAATTAAGCAGCCATCCAACCCAAAATGACAATCCCTCCCACAAACTTTTTTTTTTCAAAGAAAAAAAAGAAAAAAATATCACTTCCACCTGTTGGTCTCGTACTTCTAAATTCTGACAAATGGCTCAGCAACATCAGGCATTTCTTGTCAAAACAATCATTACCGCAAACTATCATAGAGGAAAGAACTTGACCCCAACAAAGTGTACAAACTTATCAAATCTAAGTAATATAAACAGGAGAGAAACAAAGCAAGAGTCAAAAATGTCAATAGCTGAGGGATAAGGAGATAAATCCACCTGTTTTAAACCATCAAAAAATGTTCCAAAGTCAAGTTAAATCAACCATGTCATCACTTTAGTTCTCTTTTTTAATTGACGCACAACCTGCCTTTTGTTTTCTTGGCAAAGTTGCGATCTGTCTCTGAGAACTGAAACAAAGTTTCGAAACTTGTTGTCAAATGCACGGTTCTTTTCTCCTTGCCGTTACATTGTGTGTTCAATAAATCAAGATGATAGTTGGGGGAAAATTGTATCATAAAGTATTATGATGCTCCAAACAAAACTATGATCATTAAGAAGGAGAAAATGATATTTAATCACGACAGCCTTTAAGAACACATATTTTTCATCTCCTCCTCTATCTCCTTATCTTCTTCTTACTCCTTGCCTACTTGCAACATCCGCCTTTTCACTTATCTCATCTTACAATCTGACTTCACATCTTCACCTTCCATGTAACAAGACAGTCATATCTCTGCAAGGCAAGAAAAACTCCAAATAAAGTATAATATTTGTCAGGCTTAAAGTCATCACTGCTGAAAAGTACCATCATCAGTCAAAGGAGAGAGCAGACAAGCGGTATCCCCTAAGAGACAAGCACCACCTTCCATACATCTGTCTACTTCAAAAGTAATTTTTGTTTCAACTTTATTTTCTTAAAACTCAGTGTGAGAACCTATCATATTACCTTATTGTAACATGGCTTGACCTATCACTTGTTAAGTGTGTACAAGTACAAAAAAATGTAGAATCTACTTTCGAAAAATCAACCTTAGCCAATTTTAATAGCCTTGTGCGTCACCTTCTGAAATGTGCAAACGTGACAATGACATATCATGTAATCCGTACATGATTTCAATGGGACATGCAACTATATGGTTCTCAAAAAGCGCCTTTGAGTTGATTTTTTTTTCCTTGAAAATAGTTGCTGTCATAATTTTTTTTTTAATTTGTGATTCAATAAACTGATGCACTCTTTACTTAACAGCTTTATACAAACCCATCCATGTATTTTTGTATTCAATTTTATATGAAAATATTTTTCATCATTTCTATGATGGAATGGTAGTGCTATGTATTAGATGATAGCCAGATTTTACACTTGAAATGTCTCTTTATCTTAAATGTAGGTGAAGTTTCAAGGAAATTAGGAAACATGATCAAATCGACACTTGTACAGTTGCATCAAAACTCCTCAAAACAAGTTTCATGGACATAGATTCCTATGGGTTTAATCCAAACACTTCCAAGGCCCGGTCTCCAAATGGTTGGTTAAAGAAGACATTGTTTTGTACAGAGATGTAATATATTTTATGAACGTATGGGACATACATGTCCATTTCCAGGATATTTTGAAAGGGGAAGGGGCACGATTCCAATTGGGGGAAGGGGGGGGGGGGCTATTTGGGGGTTGAACTTAAGGTATGCCCCCCCCCCCTCCCCCACCTAAAAAAAAATACAGATAACAAAACCTATAAAATAGAGCGAAGAGGAAAAGAGGAGGATATTAGGAAAAAGTTTACTCTTAATGGCTAGACACTTTTCCTTCTTACATGTCAACTTGTCATGGATCTGGGCCCCCACAAAGAGTTTTATGAATGAACTTGAGAGTCTAGTATGATATATAGTTGGTGTCTGGGGAAAAGAAGGACGGAATGAAAGAAGAAAGAACGAGACAAAGAAATACAAGGTTCTTTTGTGGAAGTTTGGTCTGAATGCACACAGAGGGATCATGAAAGTTTTATTGCATGAAAACTAACACTTAGACAAACATGACAAATTAAGTAACATACACTTTAGTGTAGTACTACAACAGACTTGTAGATCGGGCCAACTTGTAGAGGCCTATATGTATGTGTTGAAGTTAAAGAATCTTTACACCAAAAAATTACACAGAGAAAATCACTGTTCGCCTTTGGCCTTGTAATAGGTTTAGACATTTAAAGTGCATGAGGGTGTCCATTTTTATTCTTGGCCATTAATTGACAATTAATTCACCTCAGCATTTATACCTGAAAAATTAAATTAAATGCTTCAAAAAACACTATTGGAATGGTTATCTAAACATAGCTTTAAGCCTGAGGATTACCTGATATATAAACCTATTGAAAGTGATATGAAATCATTTCCTTTTCATGGGTTCAATGAAGAAGATAATAGGGATAATATGGTCACATTTGTAAAGCGCTTAATACTTCATGTGTATGTTTTTAACAAAATCAGGATTGTATCTTAGCACCAAAAATTAACAAAGATTTATGAACAATAGAAGAAATAAAATACACTGTCTGCACCAGACAAAATTCCATTTCCAGCCCATTTAGCACAGGTCTTGGCCTAATTGAAAACTTTTTGAAGTTGATATTCTCACTACTGTTCAGCTGGGAAAACAAATCGACTGCGGATCAGAGCACGCTTTGATCCTATTGTCTGATGAGCGACAGCAAAGTCTAGATACAGGCTAATTCACAACTCCATCAGGCATTTATTTGAACGAAGAGTTTCAGGTACATTAACTTTAAACATGTAAATAACGATTTCGGTAAACAAGTTGATTTTGTTATGGAGCATGATAATTGGGAACACTTAAAAAGTAAATCACAACTCCATCAGGCATCTATTTGAATGAAGAGTTTAAGGTACATTAACTTTAAACATGTAAATGAGGATTTCGGAAAACAAGTTGATTTTGTTATGGAGCATGATAATTGGGAACACTTACAAAGTTTTTAAAAATTGTCAATGGAATTCTTGTCAGTCATCACAGAAGCTCCTGGGTTTTCGAATGCAGATAGCATTGACAAGAAGGACATTTCCTTTCAAGTGGAACCATTATCTCATTTTATTGGCTGCTCACAAGAAGAATGTTATGCAATGTAGCTCTTATATACAGCCTTCTTATGGACAGACGAGACGATCTATTGGAAAGTGTACATGGAGGCAGGAGGAGGCCCTGGGGCCAAGGGGTAATTTGTTAACCACCCCATCCCCCATCCCCCCCCCCCCCACCCACAAATACACACAAAAATAATATTAATAATGAATAAATATATATTTACATGTACAGGGGTGTAGATAGATAAATAAAATCAAAATAACATAAAGAATAAAGCTTTTAGTCAAATTTATTTCATTAAATTCATTTTGGTTCATAAATAGTATGATAATGCAATAAGCTGCTGTGAATTTTTTCCCCCTCCTCAGTTGGAATGTTAAAAAAAAGAAGAGATTAAGAAATAATGTACAGTATATGCCTGGTCATGTAAATTTCAACATATTTTTGCACCAGAAACCTTTAAAACGGAAGGTAAGTTGTGCCGTGTATGGGTCTGCAATGTCTATAAACCTCTGAGATTGCAGTGCATGG